TGGTCCTGCACAAAGTGGGCTCCCAAGGAGCTGGCTCCAAGCTGTGCTCCCGTGGCAAGGCATCCCCCGTGCAAGGTCACGATGTCAGCTTAAAAAGTAACTCAACTTTCATGTGCCACTTTCTCTTATTTACTGTTTTCATGCTTTCAGCCTTCAGATAACACTCAGACACTGCCCAGCCTGCCTCCAAAAAAAAATAGTACACGTCCAGCTGGTTGCAGACTGCAGAGCTGGATCCTCAGCCCTGCTCCCTGGTGGCCTCATGAGCCACATCCAGAGTGGCCAGTCCTGCCCCCCTCTGAGGCCACCTCAGCCCCAGGGCTTTATTTACAGGCTGGTTCCCAGCAGCTCAGAGCAGATGTGGAGGGCTCTGCCAGCAGCTCCCGCTTCACGTGAGCGCTTCCCTCCGTCTGGCTCGGCACGTGCCAGGGAAGGATCCAGCGCTACCCACCACCCCACTGAGCTTTACAACAGCTCATGGCACAGCTGGGGCTTTGCCTCCTCCAGTTTTATAAGGGCTAAAAAGTGTGGATTTCACCCAGAGCTGGGGGCTCAGTGCTGGAGGGTGGCTGAAAACCAGGCCCTCTTCCCTCAGAGGTTACGGTGGGACAGTGGCTGCTCTGGCTGGGAGTTGGAGCAAGCTGCCCTTGCTCCCTTCCCCTCTTAACCCTCCCAATCCTGGGAAGGAAAACCCAGAACTGCGCTGGCCACGCTCCAAACGCTGTCCCTGCCTTGCAAGAGGAGACACGTTGCCAGGGCAGGCTGATTTCACCGGGTCAGAGGCTTCTCACACACCCAGGGTCACCCAGGCTTATCAAGGGGATCCAGAGCTCAGACACTTAACACCATCTTCCCACAGCCTGCCCCATCCCAGGGTCAGGGCTGGCTCCAAGGGCTTTCCAGTGCCGCTGTCTGCAGTTCTACCCACACCACCAGACACCTGCACGGCCCTGGAGGGGCTGGACCTGCAATCCTGACCCCCCAGCTCACAGTTGCCTCCAGACCTGAGGGTTTTGGAACTCTGCCCAGTGACAGACTCGTTTGAAGAGCAGGAGATGGGGCTCTGCTCCAACACAGACACTCACAGTGGCCACGATCCTTTTGACAGCAGCTGCAGAGAGCTCCTCTCCCTTGGGCTGCTCCACCAGTGTCATCCCCATGTACTTGAGGCTGAAGAGCATCCCCTCCAGCAGCGTCTCGCGAGTGTCAGTCCAGTTCTCTGGGAGCTCTGGGGAGACAACAAAGAGGCTCTTGGATTCCCAAACACACAAGGATGTCCCTGAGGGTTTAGGTACAGGCAGGGTGTTGGTTTAGTTGCTGCCTGGATTTCCAAGCCTGAGCATCTGGGAGCTCAGGGAAGGAGATGGGGCAGCTGTTGGAGAAGAGGACACTTCAACCATGCAGCACCCACGAGGGGCTCACATGGGGAACCTCATCATCAGCCCCTGCAGCTCTCCAGCACAGCAAAAACAAATCCCAGAATGCTTTCCACAAGCCACAACAAACAGAAGCAAGCTTTTAGTTGAACTGTGAGCACCCAGGCCCACACCATAACCAAGGGGACCCTGAGCCCCAGCCCAATGCAGGGCTCGGAGCCACCCCACGCACAGCAATGGCCTTACCCTGTGCAAACCATCACCTACACACACACTCAGGCTAAGACAGGATTTACTGCTAAGCCCAGGCAGCTGCCAGGATCCAGGTGAGGTGCTGTGACCTGCTAAATCGGTCACCTACAGCCCCGAGGAGCCATCACACAGGTGAAGGCTCGGCAAGGAGAGGTCTCTGCTCTCCCCTGGAAACCACCAAGGGGACTACTGGCCTCTTCCCTTAAGTGCAGGGAGGGTGGGAAGGAGTGTTCTAAATACAGAGCTAAGTTTGGGACCGAAGGGAAAGTCAGGTGGGTGTTTCTAAGCCTGAAATTACACCGCAGGAGCCAACTTTCAGCCTCCTCCAACCAGTGAGGCCAAACTCCACAGCTCCCTGCACACCTGCAGGGCAGGAGGGCCGGGCTACAGGGATGTGGGGGACCTGGATACACCCCTGGGAGAACCCCCAGTGACTCAGCCTCCCTGCAGAGGCAGGGCTGCAGATAAGCCATAAAGCCCAGCACCACTCCCAGCACTGGGTGGTGAGACACCGGAGTGCCGGAATCCAGGTGGGAGTGGTCCCATGGGGAGTGCAGGGGTTCTGTGCCCAGCACACAGAGGAAAAGCGGAAAAAACAAGGACAGGTGGGATGCTGTGTTAACCTGGTATCCCAGAGGGTGCCAGCACAAAGCTTGGACTTCTCAAAAGCCAAAGGGCGCTGCTGCCACTGCCCTCCCGTGAGCGCTCCAGGATGGTTTGTGTGCCAGCTCCCTGCCCCACACTCCCTGCCCCACCAGCCAGGCACTGGTCCCGTTATGACTGAGCCCAGGGACACTCCAAACACCCCACAGTGCCTGGGGTGATGCCACCTGCAGCCAGGCCCTGGGCACCCACAGCTCCCGCGGGCCCGGGACGGAAACAGAGGTGGTTTAAGCAAAACCACTAAAGTGCTTTCAGAGAGGAAGGAGCAACCCGGCAGGACAGAGACACTTCTCCACACATCCTGTTCTGCACCCTCTGCCCTCACCCATCATCCTCCCGTTAGCACACAACCATCACCCACCGAAGGGCACGGGAGGGGGACAGTTTTCAAGGTCACGGCATCTCGAGGGGCACATCCCCCCAGGGGCAGGTTGGGCAGCACCCCATCTCACCCCACCCCACCCCTCAAAGCCCCGCGGCTGCCCCCCAGCCCTCCGCGTCCCTTGGCTCATCCTTAATCCCAGGTGTAACGACGCCGGGTCAATCCCATCAGATTACCAACAGCAAGAAGTTTGATCTCGCCGCGGGCGCTGAGGGGTGAACGTGGGGGGGCAAAGCTCCCCCCTCGTCCTGGCGCTGCCCCGCTCGGGGGGCAGCCGGGCCGGTCCCCCCTTCGCCGGGAGGGCTCCTGGCACGGGCCGAGTGGCCGCTCGCCACGGGGCCATCGATCGCGTGGGGAAGCCAATCGCGGGACGAGGTCAGAAACTGCCCGCCGGGCTCCAGCCCTTGTACCAGGCTGGGGGACGGGGA